CAGAATGGGATGGAAGAACAAGCTGTGATCACATCTGGAATGAATGTATTTGAGATTGGAATTGACATTAAAACCATATTTTTAGACAAACTTGCATACTTCACCTAAAGAGGATACATACATATACGTAGATACACAAAATGAAGTTTTATTAAATAATTAATTTTTATTTAATCTTAAATCATATAGACAAAGTAAGTGGAATGATGAGTTGGAAAAATAATTTTTTTTAATTTCCACGTCATTTAGTTGACGGCCAAAGTTTATAGTTGACTGCCACGTAGGACAAATTTAGAAGAGTGTAACGGTCGGTGACTAACAGTAAAACGATTCGTAAAGTTAGTGGTTGATAGGAAAGAAAAATAATTCGGGTGGCAAACGTGAAAGATTTGTATAATTTGAGTGACCAAAAGTGTAATTTAATCCTTTATTTTATATTTGAATATTTGATTGATACTTCACGTATTAAACACATAGAAGGCATTTAATACATGCATTTTAAGTAATTAAAATAATTACTTATTAAATTTTATATTTTGTTTAATTATAAATTTCTAAAATTTAGTGGGGCTGCGGTAAAAGAACCCAAAAGCCAATTCATACCTGCCAATAGGGGTGGAAATTGGGGTGGGTGTGGTTACCCGCCCCACATTTTGTGGATACCCACACCCACAAATTTACAATTATGCTACCCACAACCCGCACCGTAGTGGTTAGTGGGTAACCACTACCCACTGTGGGTTTGTGCGGGTTGGGTGTGGTTACCCTCAAAAATCCATATTTGCAAGCATAGAGTTCTAGTCGCCACTAACGTATTTGTTGTTCGTAACTAGACTATAGTAATATACACTTGTGTTGTTCGTGGAGATACAATTTTGTACATCGATCTTACTCAACGTGGAGATTTGAGTTTGGTATTCAACTTTTGTGTCAGAGAGCTGTGATTTCATATTTCCCTGACTAGGGGTAAAATATGAAAATTAAATATGATTTTGTATTTTTCACACAAAAGCAAAAACATAATGATAAAAGTTACAAAAAGTGTTAACTTTTAATGAATTGATTATTCTCCACTCTATCGATTATAGTGTTTTATAAACTAAAAAATTCTTACATAAAACTGATTAGGTGTGTCTTCTTTATTTGGTGACTACTTTAATTTTTATCCTCACACTTTTCACATACTATTATATTATATAGTTAATTCACTAAATAAATATAATTAGTGTGGTTATTATGGATTTTGTGGGTTAACCGCGGTGGGTAGTGGATAACCACCAAACCACAAAAATCGTTATTTTACTACCCACACACAACCCACTACCCACAACTTGTGGGTATGGTTATCCACAATAGGTGCGGGTTGGTGCGGTTTGCGGATTATCCATAACCCGCAACCCAAACTTCCACCCCTACCTGCCAATAGCTCATTAACCGAAATTGATATGTAGAAAGACTCATAAACCCTTCCTTGCATTGCGGAGAGGTCAGGAAAAACTAAATTGAGTGGGTTGTGAGTAGGGATGGCAATTACTCACCCATGGGTAATTTTACCCAAATCCAAATAAATCCATTTAGTATGTGTAGGGTTTGGATGAAGTGTATATGGGTTTGGGGGTTTGTAGATGAGTTTGGATTAGGTATGGATATTGCTTTCATAATGTAAATGGGTATGGGTTGGATATGGATATCCATTTACTTGAGGGTGTTTTAACTACACACACAAAAATTGGACCTATTTGTAAAACTTGAAAAGTTTAGGTACCAAAATGTAAGACCAAAAAAATTTAGGTACCAAAACGTAATTTTCCATCGATATTTTGAGGACTTATATGCAAAAAAAAATTAAATTTAGGTACTAAATTTGCATATCTATTAAGTTTAGGTACCAAACTGTAATTTGTCTTTGGGCATGGGTACAAACCCAAATCCATGTGTTAAAAACCCAACCCAAGTAAATGGGTATGGGTACAAATCCATCAAACTCTACCCATCTACCATTTGTTTGGAATCCATACCCAACCCAATTGGGTTGGATAGTAAAATATCCATGGGTATGGGCAAAATTGCCATCCCTAGTTGTGAGCCGGAATCTCCTTATATATGTGTATTAATTATTAGACTTTTCTCTTTATTTTATATTTGATCGATACTTCACGTATTAAACACATAGAAGGCATTTAATACATGCATTTTAAGTAATTAAAATAATTACTTATTAAATTTTATATTTTGTTTAATTATAAATTTCTAATATTTAGTGGGGTTGCGGAGAAATAACCCAAAAACCAATTCAGACATGGCAATAGCTCATTAACCGAAATTGATATGTAGAAAGACTCATAAACCCTCCCTTGCATTGCGGGGAGGTCAGGAATAATTAAATTGAGTGGGCTGTGAGTCGGAATCTCCTATATATGTGGAAAGGAAAGGATAGTGTATACTATGTAGAGAGTTCTGCATTAGTAGTGTGAGCTCTCTTGTTTCAAAATAGGCATAATATCAATAAAAGCTTCATAATTTACACTTTCTCTCGGTTGTATATTTTTTTCAATTGTGTATCCATATTTTTTATATGACAATTGTGTCTAGATGGAAACCAGTATAGTATTGATATCTCGATATCACAAACCAAAATTTTGAATGTCGAATGATACTTTAAAATAAATCTTAGTCTTAATCTTAAAATAAATTTGGTATTACAATCTCTATCTCAAAATATTCAGTATCTCAATCCGTATTCTCGAATATGAAACTATTTATCTTTGCAATGAATAGTCAAATATATATATATAAATAAATAAATGTTACAACACCCCTAATCCCGAGCATTTTGTATATTATAAATCTATAGGTGGAATTTTGTGATTGGAAATTTTGGTAATGAGAATTTGAGGTGTGAAAAGTTTAATAAAAAAATCATCGAAGTCATCTTTGATTGGATTCTATCAAGTCTCCATTGAACTAGTTCATTATAGGTTCTATTTAGCGCCAAGAGACTAGGCAAAGGGTCTTGAGTTTGTCTAGAGCTAGGACATTAATAAGGAGAAGGGAGGAGATTGTGATATCTCAATTTCTTGTCATTGGTAATCTTCAATTCGATGGATTGGAGGTTGAGAGACGATTAATGAGAGTGTATACTTTTTGGTGTCATGAAAATAACAAGAGATAGAGTGAGAGATGAGAGTGACTTAGATTGGAAATCCAAATATGGGTTGGATGGGGGATTTTTGAGTTGTCAAAAAGTGAGGAAGAATGTGTGTTATATTTAATAAGTTTTTAATTTTAGATGTTTCTCGGTATTTTGGTATACATCAATCACGTAATACAAAATACCAAATAGCACCCCTAAATGAATATCAATCGCTAAAATAAAATCGATATTCGGTAATATCAAATGATGATAAATTCGGTATGATAATATGGTATATTCCAAATACTGGTATCAAACTTTCATCCCTAATTGTGTCATATGGTATAAAGGTCTAACGTCTTTTATGCCCCAAAATTTTTGTTTGCTATTAGATTTAATAGTTGACCAAATAGCGATCAAACTATGTTTAACTGGACATTGGTATCAATGTGTCTGCCACATAAGTGTCACGTTTATCGAGCTTTCTAGTTAAACCATGGATTAAACGGAGTTTGGGCACGATACTATACCCCAATTTCTAATGGGTGAACCTCAGTCCCTAATTCTCTAATTCGAATCATAAAATTTATTTAATCTAAAATACGTATATGATTCATCAAAATATATTAAAGTGCATATAACAAGTGTGAACGTAGACAGATAGCGTACTCTAGCCTTTGCTATATATATATGTGTGTGTGGTGCCTTCTATCATACACCGGGTAAAAGTTCACCAAGTAAGAAAATTATATCTAAACCTCAAATTAAGAGGCTTTGGGCATGATACTATACGTAACACAACCCTTAATAAGTGAACTCTAGGTCCTAGTTATCCAAATCGTATACCCTAACCCTAATATAATGCATGTAATTTGTTACATATATTACGATGAATCATAACCGTCGATTATTGTTCCTAATTAAATTGGTACTATCGAATAAGATTTATACAAATAAAACCTAGATTTTAATCTTTAAAAATTAAAGTATAGTATCATGTCTCATATCAATCCAAAGTGTTGATATCATTTTCTTACTTGGTATATGCGGTGCTCCAAACTTTTACTCGGTGTACTCCAATTTATACAAATATCTTTTCATTTTCATGATCCATTTGCTTGGGAAAAAGGCACAAACCCTCTAGATTTGATGGACCAATTTCAGTCCAGAGTGCATTCCTTACTTGCCTTTCAATTTGGGCTTTTATTTCGAAAGCGTGAGCTCTGCCGCATGCCTCGAAATTGATCTGGGATGAAATAGATCCGAGCCCATTAAAGCAAAACCCAACCCAAAATTTGGTGGTCAGGTTACTTGAAATTCTAAAGCTCAGCCAAGTGCAACAACATTTTTTGTCCCGTTAAATAACGTCATTCAGTTGAATCTAAAGTGTTAACCTTAGCTTCTTATAAATAAATAAAAGTGTTAACTTAGCATTAAATTCAACACCACAACTACTCATCAAACCTGTATTGGCGAGAAATTCATTGCTTTTATCGAAAAAATCTTAATCATTAGTCATTCCTCATTAATAAATAAATAAATAAAAAACATTCTAACTGCATATCTATCAAGGTTACGATTACCAGAACCAATAAGTGTTACTCGAAACTATAGGATAAAGTAGGTATAAAAAAACTATCGATTACAAGGATACACAGCTCATACAAACCAAAATTGGTGATTACAAGGATACACAAGTCGTACAAACCAAAATTGGTGTTAAGTAATCAAACTATGCAGTAACAGAAATCATACACAAATATCCTTATTGAATGCACTTACATACACAATTACCAATTTGCAATCCATTGGAGTTTGCTGAATGAAAGAGCGCATGCAGCAACGACCGCACCAGGAAACTGCAGTCCTAGACCGTGCAATAGAGACGGGAAGCAGCTGCCTGAGCTCGAAGAACACTTGTGACAGGCTGATCAAAGCTGCCAATCTGATCCTGTGCCGGTGGAACAACTCCTGATGGTACTGGCTGCTGCTGCAGAGAGGAAACAACCGCCTGCTGTGATTGTTCAAGGATTCGCGACAGCGAAGGGAGCAGCTCGGCCTGGGAGCTACGACGGATGGGATATTGCAATGGCAGAGGGGGCAATCCAGGCCTGACGTTCAGCGCATCCATGACGTCCTTCATCGGAGGCCTGAGGGAAGGATCTGGGTGAGTGCAGTGAAGAGCTACTTGAACCAAAAGACGGACCTGTTCCTCCACAAACACACCATGTAGCTTAGGGTCGACAACAGCTTGAACATGACCTTCCCCATATAGACCCCAAGCCCACTCCACAATGTGACGACGCTGGGTTGAATTGTTGATGACATACGCGGGCTTCCCGCTAACGATTTGCAGAGCCACCACCCCAAAACTGAAGACGTCGGAGTGTTTCGTTGACTTCCCAGTCTCCAAAACCTCGTGAGCGAGGTACCCCTCGCTCCCGGAGATCAAGGACTGGGAGCGGTCGTCGTGTCCCACCACGCGAGCCAGTCCAAAATCAGATAGCTTGGCTCTCAAACGAGAATCCAGCAGAACATTAGCGGGCTTGATGTCCCTATGCAGCACACATTCTGTGCACCCTCCGTGCAAGTAGAGTAGCCCCGAACCCAAATCCTTGGCGATTCGGAATCTGATTTCCCATGTGAGCGGTTGCTGGCCAGGCCCATGTCTGCGTAGATGATCATCCAAGCTACCATTCTCCATGTATTCGTAGACCAAGTAGAGGTCACCCGACTCGTCGCATGACCATCCAAGTAGTTCAACCAAATTGTGGTGCCTCAACTGTGATATCACCGTTAACTCTGCCATGTACCCCTCCTTGTTGCCTCTAGCCGCCGTCACCTGGAACAGTTTCTTCACTGCAATGTCTCTACCGTCAAGTTCTCCCTTATATACTGCTCCGAACCCGCCTCTCCCCAACATCTCACTGAAATTGTTTGTTGCTCCACGAACCGCCTCTGGTGAGATGTATTTCGCTCCGGGATTGATCCTGTGTAGAAGCCGAGGTCCTCGCATGGTACTAACACTACCAGCACTAGTGATGTCTTGCTCTTGCCCCTGGCTACCACCACGCAAGGGAGCAATAAGCAATTCGCGCTTAGCCAAAGGACTTTGGTCCGCATTCCTCCTCCAACAGACACGCCTGCACACACAGAACCATACTGCTACAAGAGCAAGACCGGCCAGTAACATTCCGATCAACAGTCCCATGGTCAAGTGACCATTTTCGCCATCGCTTCTGTCTTTTCTTGCAGATGAACCAGTTGGCGTTGCTGTGACTAGATTGGAAGAGGAAAAGGACCAGGAACTGATGGTGTGAGACTGAGACCTCCAAGCGGTTGAGCTGGAGAAGCCGAAGACTACTTGTTCCGGCAAGTAATGCGTCAAATCAACTCCATAGCAAAGGGTATCGTCGAACTTGAACTGGCCACTATTATCCCTACTACTGAACCAGCTTGCGCACAGAGTATTGGCATCCTTATCGTATGAAATTCGTGCACGCATTCGACGAGTACCCTTGCCATTATAATGCCTCCTCCATCTCTTACTGGCAACAGACTGCAGAGAGTTGATATCAATTCCCACATGGCTGCTGCCGTTCCAAGAATCCCACTCGTTGTTGTAGGTGTCGAACTCAACCGCCACGAATGGATTTTCCGAGGCGGAGTCATAAGTGAGGTTAGCATATATAAGCCCCAACCCTCCGCTGGCTCCCCCGCCCACTGGGATGCTGTAGTTTTGCGGTGCCAGGAAGAATGCCAAGCCGTCACAGCACGAGGACTCGTCTTCGCTGATACTGCCATTGTTGTTACTGGCGATTTCGAAGATGAAAGTGGTAGTGAAATTGGCAACACTGCCCGTGGTGGCGTCCCAGAGGGGCATTGGTTTGGAGTATCTGGCCTGGCCGATCACGTAATATCCGAAGCCGGTCAGTTGAATCCCAGAATTCATACAAGATGCCTCTCCGTACAGCTTGATGGAGTCGCTGCATTGATCGAAGCTGCTGTAGCTGAAGGACAGTGCGTCCAGTCCAGCAGTGAGTGAGAGCATGATCAGGAAACCTGATAAAGCTACCATTGTAGCGATGATCATTGCTCTTTCAATAATCCTCCAGATCATAATAATCCCCTGTACCATTCATTCACAACGTAAACCATAGACTCAAAACCGAAGAACAATCCCTTAAAACAATAAACCGAAGAACAAGCATGGCAGAGTGAAGTAGAGAAGGAAGAATCACCAGCACATTATCATCCCCTGTTCCATTCATTCACAAGTAAACCCTAGACTCAAAACCGAACAGTGAACAATCCCTTCAAAAAAACCCAGGCAGAGTAAACTAGAGAAGGAAGAATCACCAGCACATCATAATCCTCTGTATCATTCATTCGCAAGTAAACCCTGGATTCAAAACCAAAGAACAATTCCTTAAAAAAAACCTCCGAAGAACAAGCATGACAGAGTAATCCCTGTTAGAGAGTGCTATAGTGGGCCTGTGCAAACTTCAAACCCGTGAGTTGGCTTTCGTTTGAGGGGCGTGTTAGAGAGTGCTATAAGATCCAACATAACCTTCTCCCAACAACTCGAATTATTGGGATCAAATGGTTCTTGACAATCCCTTGCACCATTCATTCGCAAGTAAACCCTGGACTCAAAACCAAAGAACAATTCCTTAAAAAAAAAACCTCCGAAGAACAAGCATGACAGAGTAATCCATGTTAGAGAGTGCTATAGTGGGCCTGTGCAAACTTCAAACCCGTGAGTTGGCTTTCGTTTGAGGGGTGTGTTAGAGAGTGCTATAAGATCCAACATAACCTTCTCCCAACAACTCGAATTATTGGGATCAAATGGTTCTTGACAATCCCTTGCACCATTCATTCGCAAGTAAACCCTGGACTCAAAACCAAAGAACAATCCCTTAAAAAAAAAAAAAACCCCGAAGACCAAGCTGGGCGGAGTAAAATAGAGAAGGAAGAATCAGCAGGACATTACCATCCCCTGTATCATTCATTCACAAGTCAACCCTAGACTGAAAAGGGAAGAATCAGGAGCAAGCTAGAAGAAGGGCGAATTACCAGCAAAATCAGGCGGTGCACCATGCTAAGGATGATTGTTGAGGGACGATGGGGAGTTGCAGGTTCCCAGCTCTCTGAATCTCCCAACCAGCGAGTTTATTACAAAATGCTGCGGCTTTCTTCGCAGCTTAAGGGATATGTAGATTTCTTAACTTTTGATCGAAATCCAGAGATGGGTTGGGTTGGTGTGTTTTTTCGTTTATATAGCACCGCCAGCTGCAGAATCTTCTGCTACGTAGGAAGGATGACGCCCTGTTCTCACACTGAGTAGAGCCATCAAATTTGAATATTGGCAATGAAGAAAAGTTGGGCAACCTGTGTAAAATTGCATGGGTGGTCACGGAAACTTTTTACGTTTTTACGTTTGGTTACAAAAAATATATTATTTCATTTATAGTCATTAATTTTAGGGTAAATACAATTTAATGTCCAAACCTTTTATTTTAAACAATATAATAGCCAAACCTTTTCGAAAACAATCTAATATCCAAATCGTCAAACTTTCTGTCTTAGTTGACACTTCAAAAAAGTTCGAAGTACGACACTTCATCAATATCCATCGATATCTTCTCTGAAAAACCACCAACATATCGTAGTTCCAAACCCGAGAAGTCCATGACTCCACCATGATGGTATAGGATATCTAAATATTCAGTCATCTGCAATGCCAAAACAAGAAACAAAGTTGTATTGTGACAATTTTTCCTAAACAGAGCTTTTTTGAAGTGTCAACTAACGGTCAAACGAACGGAAAGTTGACAATTTGGATATTAGATTGTTTTCGAAAAGGTTTGGCTATTATATTGTTTAAAATGAAAGGTTTGGATATTAAATTTTATTTACCCTTAATTTTATATTCTCATTCATCTATGGTCACTCTCTTCCTTTAATTTTAGCTTACATGAGGAATTCTCATAATTAACTTTTAAATATGTGACATGACAATTAAAAATTTAATTTTTTAATATGCTAAAATATTCACCTCCAAATCTCTCATTCCCCTTCAAACAACCATTTCACTCACATCCTCCGACCACCACCTCCGTCATCACACCCTGCGCCTCACCACCATCGTTGTCTCCTCCTCTACCCTCCGCTACTACAACAATCCCAACGAAAACATCCCCAAATCCCCCTCCTTCTACCGCCGCCATCGTCGACACCACAACCACCTCCACCGCCCCCTTCACCTCCTGCTTTGTCGTCGACCAGGCTAGAAAGAGCGCTAACATCCTAATCGAAGCCCTAGAGCACGAAGGACTCGTCCACATATTCGCTTAACCTTTTCCCCATTATTGAAGGCACCCATCCATTTCTCTTGATACCGTTTTCATTGCCTTCTCATGGTCGCCGATATCCATCCATCGGTGACAATTTTGTAAAAAGATTGATTTTGGAGAGGAAAGCTCAGCAGAAAACTGAGTCATCTATCTATAGCTTTTATAGCTACAATGATCATTAACAAACTGATCCACGTGTCCTTACATGATAGGCTATTAATTTAAATAAACAGTGAAAATTAATGACTAAGTAAATAAAATAAACGTTGTCATTTCTCCTTTCATTCTTCAGGCAGTTTTCTTCTTCTACAAAATGTTGTCGTGCTTCCAATCCATGATGCATCAGGATTGTATCTTCCCGCAGCTCAAATCTGTCATCCCCCTTCAAGTTGGTGGTGCTCCTATAATCCCCAACTTGTCAAGAATCTCTCTCATTCTGAATCGATCCAATCCCTTAGTGAAGATGTTTACTAACTGATCAGCTGTGCCAACATGCTTCAACTTGATCAACCCAGTTTTAATTCTTTCCCTTGTAACCTGCATATCGATCGTTATATGGTTTGTTCTTTCATAAAAAACAAGGTTCTCTGGTAAATAGATAGCTAACCTGTCGTCACAATACACAAGTATAGTCAAGGGAATTTGAACTGTTAGTTCTGAAAGGAGTCTTTTTAACCATTCAATTTCACATACCAAGTGCGCGAGAGCTCTACACTCTACTTCAAAAGTTGATCTCGACACTGTGGTTTGCTTCTTTATTTTCCAAGTAAAGAGTGATGACCCAAGGAAGGTGCAATAGCTTGTGATGGATCGATGTGTGTCTGAACAACTAGCACAGTCTGAATCACTATACTCTGTCACCTTTGCTTCTACTACACTTCCAAAGTGAATCTCCTGATCTGGTGCAGACTTGAGATACATTAAAACCTTGTAAGCAACCTGCATATGTTCATTACAAGGGTTTTTCTGGTACTAACACAATTGTTGTATTGCAAACACTATTTTGGTCTTGTTATGGTAATATAGTGAAGCCTACCAACCAGTCTTCTATAAACTTCCCCATCTTTCATTAATGTTCCTTTGGAACTCAGTTTAACCTTAGCATCAACTGGAGTTTTGCATTCCTTAGATTCCAGATAGTATGTATCCTTTTTAATAGGTCAACATAATACTTCCTTTGGCAGACATTCAGACCATTTTGATCCGTGCTTACCTCCAGACCAAGGAAGTACTTAAGTGGTCCCAGAAGCTTTACCTTGAATTCCTTTCTCAATGCAATCTTAATATGATCTACGTCCTTTTGTGCATCACCACCAATAATTATGTCTTCCAAATAGACTAGTAAGACTGTAATTCTTCCATGTCTCCACTTGTTGAACAATGAGTAGTCAGATGCTGACTGTGAAAATCCAACCTTCAACCAGAAATTGGTCAGTTTAGCAAACCACGGTCTGGAAGCCTGTTTCAAACCATAAAGAGATTTCTTAAGCCTTCAAGTCATCTTCTGATTTTACACTGATTGCACCTTTAGTCCCAGAGGTTTTTTTAACGTACACTACCACTTTTAGATCCCCATGTAAAAAGGCATTTGACACATCCAGTTGTTCCATTCTCCAGTTCTTCATGCTTGAAATAGCTATAAAAGTTTTGAATGTATATATCTTAGCAATTGGTGAGTATGTATCCAAAAAATCTATGTCATACACTTGAGTATAACCCTTAGCTAGTAATATGGCTTTCTCCCTTTCCAATGATCCTTTAGGCTTATACTTGTACTTAAATACTCATTTATTTCCTATTTCCTTCACATTTGGTGGTAAAGGAACCACATCCCAGGTTTGGTTCTCTTCTAGTGCATGCAATTCTGAATTCACTGCCCTATTCCAAGCATATGATTTGATTGCATCATAGTATGACTTAGGTTCCTCATGATTCACAACACTCAAGGCAAAAGTTTTTTCCACAAGACTTAATTCATCCACATTCAGGTAAATGGGGTACTTACTACATGAATTAGACTTACCATATGGTCCAAATGTGATAGATGGATCCAAATGGTAGTCACTGTACTAACTTGGAAGTGTGGCAATTCTCTTTGGCCTTTCCTCATTCTGCAAAACCTAACTATCATGATCAACATCAACTTGTGGAAGAAGTTCTTGTTCATCTGAATCAAAATATTGATCATGATCTTTGAGTGAAGATTTATCGAGATTATGAATCTCAGTCTCAATATGATCTCTCCTTAGTTTGATTCATCTGTGGATGAATCAAACTAAGGAGAGTGTTGATGTGTAGAGAATGGGACATGAAGAGCAGGAGTTGGTGTGGCATCTGGATTGACAAAAGACACATGACTGGGAGAAGAAGGAAGAGATTGGTCAGGAGAATGAAAGGGCAAGATTGTCTCATAGAAAACCACATCTCTGGAGATGAAAGTCTTCTTATCATGCATGTCCAACACCTTGTAACCCTTAACACCTGCTGGGAAACCTAAGAAGACACATTGCCTGGCTCTATGAGCAAATTTGGTCCTTCCATGGAATAGAGTGTTGGCATATCAGAGGAAACCAAAAACTTTTGGATGATTTAAGGTATGGGACTCATTGTAAAGAACTTCAAAATGTGATTTGTTTGTAAAATTAGGGTAGGGATTCTGCTGATAAGATAAACAGCATGTTACACACAATCAATCTAGTACTATAGGGGTAACCCAGATTGAAATTTAAGAGCACTG